AATCGTTAGTTGATTATCTTATCGATCGACTTTCGATTAATTGATAAAAGCGGCGTTTTTCACCTGAGTTTCAGGGCTTCAATAGGGCCTTAATATAATTGAGGTATTATATTACATTAGCCAACATTATGATACCATAATTATATTGTATTATATTATACATTCCTCAAGTAATTATGCATTAGGAGAAGAAAGCAGACACGTTTTTAAGGTAAAACAAAATCTTTGATTAAAAAAAAAACCTGGCTCAGTTCTTGCATGATAGCGCTCATCAACAAACTGCTGGACACCAGTCCAGCAGTTTGTTGATGAGCGCTATCATCTCTCCGGCTGATGCTAATGCTAACGGATAGGTGGCTATGCTAGCAAGCTAGCTGGCTAACGCCCCAACGTTCTTGTTTTTGTGGTCGCGGACAGTCGCTATGACAACCTTCTTTGCCTGAATTAACAATGTTGAAGTGGTCACACACACCGCACTTCTTTTCGCCAGCTTCATTTTGTTTTCAACCCTGGTCTCTCTCGCGACACGAGGCGTGTTCTCGTTCTCACGCTGTGTTCAAGTTACAGTAAAGCGCTAGCACCCTCTAGCGGTTAATCGTGATTAATACATTTTGATCGAGCAACCTCTTGATCGACAATTTATCTAAAGTCGATTAACCGTTTGCATCCCTATTTAGAAGCCAGAATGAACTTGAGAAATAGCAGAAATTCTAGTTTTGTGTCTTTCATCTAAGTCAAATTTGATATTCTACTTGAAAAACTGGACATGTACATGGAGAGGTAGTCCATCCATTTTCTCTACCGCTTACTCCTAGAAGTGGTTTATAGGTTGGACTTTACCCCAGCTGTCAATGGTTGAGAGGCGGGTATGCCCCGGATAGGTCACCAGTCACTAAGAGGTCATTTTTGAGTCATCAACTAACCCATGATGCTAATTTTGGACTGTGGGAGGAAGCTGGAGTACCTGGAGAGAACCCACAAACACAGTGCCACCCACTGTGTTTGTTTGCAAGCAAACTCCGTCCAGAAAAAACTAGCAAGGAACCTTGAACGCATGTCGTCCATTATCAAGCTGAGAAACCAGGAAGTACCCGGGTCATTTGCAGAGATGTTCAGTAACGAAGTAGAACTACTTAAGTACTGTACTTAAGTACCAAAATGCAGTATCTGTACTTTATTGGAGTAGATATTTTTCCCCCTACTTTTACTTTTACTCCACTACATATTTTTGATTATTTCAATACTTCTACGCCGATCGATTTTTCACGGGCTGAATCGTTACTCGTTACTGAAATGTAAACGTAATGATAGATAGCTCTGCCATGGTTTGTGAAGATGGCTCCTCATTTGCGATTTGAACGATCAAGCATAGCCTATAAAAAAAAGCCTCCCAAAAGATTGTTAATTATCGGCTTCAAAAGTTCCCCATCTAATCTAAAGAAGCATATCAAGGTAAATTAAAAAATACAATGACATATAAGCTAGTAAATAAGCGCTAGTTCAGTTCTCCCTGTTCACTCGGGACGTAGCAGCTAACCTAGCTGGCTAGCTGTATGATAACGTTAGCTAAAGCTGACCTAGCTGGCTAGCTGTATGATAACGTTAGCTAAAGCTAACCTAGCTGGCTAGCTGTATGCTACATGCTAGCATAAAGGCTCAGCTCAGGATTCTGACTCTGGAATAATAAATAATAGTAGATGAAGTGCTGTTGATTGCTAATGCAGATGTAGTTTTCTGTTTTTGTAAACACCTGTATGGCCTTTCACACGTTTGAAATTATTATAAACAATATCTATCACACTTTTGACTGCCTTTTTTAATATACACAGTACTTGTACTTTTACTTATACTTGTACTTTCAATACTTGAGTTGCATTTTTTGAAATATTTCTACTTGCAATACTTAAGTACAAAAAAAATTGAGTACTTCCGTACTTCCACTTAAGTATGGTGTTGAAAGAATACTTCTACTTTTACTCAAGTAATTTTTTTACATAGTACTTGTACTTCTACTCCACTCCTCTACTTCAGTACTTTAAACATCTCTGGTCATTTGCGGCTTATTGACGAGAATCACTAGATGTTTGTTTCACACTGGACAGATTCTAATTCAAATTGGAACTTGATGAAGCTATTTTGATAAATCAAGAATACAGAGGATTAAATTAGATCTTGGTAGAAGTGTTCCATGATGAGCTGAATGTTCGTGTGGTGGCTAGCATAGATTGTCTCCCCCTATTCAGAGAGTTCCTGGTTTGAATCTGTGTGGTTCTTCCTCCAACCACCCACAAACATACACTTTTAGTTAATTGGTACCTCTAAATTGACTCTAGGATACCCCCTTGTAGAGTGTACTCCCAACCCTAACCCTAACCCTAGAAAATGGATGGATTGATGTAGATGACCAGTAGATATTTTACGATCCATTATTTAAAATAATACAGTTTTTTTTATAAAGAGAACTGCTGCATTAGAAGGAACAGGGACTGTTAGTTATACTAGTTCCTTATGAATCACTTACTTCTGCAAAGAAAATATGTCTGGTGTGTAATTTGAGAAATAGCTCCGGTACCATGTAATAAGGAATTTCAAAGGCACAACCTCCATCAACAAGCTTCCCGACTGCCTGGACTTACATCTGTATTTGTCCTCCAGGTGAGCCTTGCAGAGGGAGATTATTCCGGTTTTGAAGGACAGAGTCCGGATCTTTCCACTGCGTCCACTGGCAATCAAACAGTAGAGCGCATTAGCACAGGAAACGTCTCCGCTATGGGAAAAAAAGCGCTAGTGCTTCACGTACGTGTCGTAGACGTTGAGCAGCCAGTTGAGACACATGTCGACGCACAGCGGGACGTTGACCAGGTGGGCGTGGCACTGCTCCAGCTTCTGGTACAGGCTGGTCAGACAGGTGACCAGCTGGGAGATGTCCAGCAGGTGCTCGTTCTGCTTCAAACTGTGCTGCTCAAACACCTCGCACGCTATTGGCATGCTCAGCAGATCCACTGAACACACAAGGAACAGTCAAGGGTTGGTATCTTTAAAGGACAACTGCTTCAAACTCGTGTTTGAATGCAAAGTAAAAATCTGATTTCAATAGACAAACAGAGCAGATTTTGCATTAATGCTGCTACAGATTATTTTTAAAAAGACATAAATCTCTTTGTGAACTTCCTGAAGTGAGAGCAACCAGCATGTGGTTCGGGAGTAAGATGTCTGAAAAGCTAAAGTTAAGCGATCGTAAGATACAACGACCTGCAATTTTGAACGACTGTCTATATCGTCCTACCGCGGCTTTCAGGGTTGATCGTTTGTAGGACTCGCTCCTGAATTTGTGAGCACTTTGTATATTGTCTGGATGAAGCGGTGTCACTACACAGTGTTACACAGTGTTCTCATGGTTACGCATGGAAAGTGTACTTACAGCAGAGGGCTTTCTGCAGGCGTCTGAGTTTCATGGCTGTGCGGTAGGCCGAGAACCGCACGTTGTTCAGGTCAGCTTTAAATACAATGAGACAAGACGCCAGTCAAAATTAGGGGCTTTTTTGTTTGTTGACCACTCCGTTCTAGGTTAGGTCAAAACAAGGAGGGGTCTTGACTGATCCAATCTGTGGTTCAACAAGCTACCAAGCATCACCCAAACCGTTCTCACAACGATCCGACTGGGCTCTACCTTTCTGAACAACGTCTCGAACTTGAACGCTAGTTCATTGATGGGAACAATAGGGCGGGACTTACCTAGCGACTGGTAGAGCTCAGCCATCTTGGGATGGTCCCAGCATGTCGTCTGGGTCTGGTGGCTGGAATGCGACAAAAAGGATGAGCATGCCGAGCTGAATTTACAGACTACATCATAGGACAATACAGATTATTTGGGTTGCCCTGGTACATCAGCCCAATGGCATTCATGATTATTGCATTTTAATCAGTAAGCAACACCAACCATCCGATGCAATAAAATATAAGACAATTCCTATATGATTTCATTGACTGTTTGGTGTAGTGGTCAGCACCATCACCTCACAGCAAGAGGGGTTCTGGGTTCGAGTCCCTGGAGGAACCGGGACCTTTCTGTGTGGACCCCATAAGGGAATAAGTGGTTATGATAATGGATGGATGGATGTTTATTAAATTCAAAATTTACGTAAAAGTGTATTTCCAACACCAATGTGCCTCTTCGAAGTGCGTAAAAGTTTAGATTCAATAAAAAAAGAAAATGCTGTCAATTGTAAAACATAGCCAGAATTGTTGTAATTGCTCCGTCTAGGAAAATGATTAGTTGATAGAAACAGGCTGTACTTTGTCCACTATAATATTTAAGAACAAGTATGGAATTTCATGTAGGGTTGGTGCAGGGATCTCAAACCACTCGGATCCTGGATGTTTTAGATGTTCCCTTCCCTTCCCTCCCAAACCTGATAGAATGGGTCTCTAAAAGATTGTAATCAGAGGCCGCCAATGGTGCAAAAACACAGGTAAAACCCACTGGATTGCAGCCATTTAGAACCAAAGCTTAAGATCCCTGGGCTTGAGACTGTGGTATAGCCATCATTGTGGATTCAAGGTGTTTTTCAAGCCCATTTTTTCTCAATCTCACCAAGTCCACAGCTCTAAAACTCTGGACCTTGGTGATTTTACTCCCCTTCTCAGAGTATGAGGATATATCTAATTTGTCATTACTGGTCATGACTTGTCAGGGGTTGTATTTTTGCCACTGTGAATAGGAGCAAAGTATAATTAGCTGTTAATGTGGGTCCGTATTAACTTCTGGGACGGTTTACTGGTTATATTTTAGAAATGGATTATGTATTATTGGTGCTGCAGCCTACACAGTCTGGTGTCCCGGGCTCAGCTACAAAAATTTCAATGCATGTAAGGGCATTTCAAACCAGTCGAACTCTTTGATCTAACCATCCAGTTTGTCAACTGTTGGCTTTATTCGATTCCAGACATGTAAAAAAGCCAACAGATCCAATCAAATAATGGAATCGTTCGAAATCTGCCAGCAATTTGTCTGGATACCCAAACCAGAAGCACCAATTCTCTCCTCTTTTTTTGCCTGGCTCTCTTTAGAAAGACCAAAGACCATGGCTTCCAGGAGAGATAAAAAACAGAAGCAAAACTATTTTGATCAATCGTTAGAGATAACTCATGGCGATACAATCCAAAGCTATCAGGGAGGGACAGAGTATATGGAGAATATATAGGGAGATATAGGGAGAATATCTTCACACAGGCCCAGGAGATGCGAAAACATAGAAATATCGATCATACAATGATACAGGTGTTCAAGACGGTCCATTTAATTGACTACAATTCAGCCCACTACAGCATGGGGGGGGGGGCTCAGTCATAGGGGCATCTTTCTCAGGAAGGAAATCAGCAGAAGAACCATCAAGACACCAAATGGCACCAACTCCCCAGATCAAACATCACGGTGGACTTGCTCCTTGAAGGCGAAAGGCCTTTTTTCCAGACACGCC